CCCCAAAACCCCAAAACCCCAAAACCCCAATCGACCAATATAAATAAATGCTATTGAGATAATATGTCTAAATAAAATATTTAATTCAAATGAGTTCTCAGGAATTTAAACTTCGTAAGTTGCTTGAAGACGCAACGTTTTTCATTAAAAATGCTGAAGAGGATGAAACTTTTATCGAAAAGTGTAAAGAGTGCATGGACTAAGCAGATCTTATCATAAGATAAAATACTAGAGAAAGCTTTTTAGAGTTGTCAACTGAAGTTATAGTAATGTTTGCTGAAGTTGCCCTCCTAACAAACAGAAGAGATGATGATGCCTAGAGGGTATTAGATATGTTCTTTCAAAGATTCACGCAAGAAGATTAATTCTATTGCAGAGCACTCCTAGCTTATGCTACTGTTGAGGTATCATTATTTCGAATCATTGCTTTATTAGGAAAGAAAAATATCCTAAACTGGATTAAAAGGTGAAGATAATTTGAAATAAGTTTTGAACGCTTACTCTTTCATTAAAAGAGCTATAGATATCGCAATCAAGCCAGAAAACAAAGTTAAATACTAATTCGTTGTGTACAATGCCTCCATCAAGACTTGGCATATAATCAGACCTCTAATGAAGCCTTAGTGGTCGAAAAATCTAGTTGAAATTATTGAAAGAATATCAAATCTTTTAGAAGAGGCCGATGATTCAGACTTTAATTGGAGATGCAGATACTTAAATGCTTTAGTCAAGGCTATGTTTGACGCTGAAAAGAAACCAGAAGCTCTAAAGATTCTCGATAAACTCTGGGATTTAACTAAGAAAAAGGGAGAATGCAAGTTCTAAGAGACCTTATTTAGAAATAGAGTGCATTTATACAGAGATAATAATGGTATTCTAGGTAACATCAAAAAGGAAACAGAGACTGGAGAGGATAAAAATGGCTTTAAGTCACTTTTAGTGATTCAATCAATAAAATCAGGCATTTTGCCTGAGCCCTAAATTGAAAAGGAACTGACTGCTATAATGGCAGCTTTATGTCCCTCTAGCATTAATAATGATCCTGCCGCAGCTTAAGCTTCTACAAAGATATCTCCCCTATTCCAAGATAGACTTGCTGAATGTGGTAGATTAGCTATTAAGTACAACCTTATTTAACTTTGTGAGGGTGCTTGTAATGTCATAGCTAGAGCTAGATAGGGTTCACTAAGGGCCAAAGTTTGGACTGAATATTCCAAGGCTGAGCTATTATTGAAGAAACCAACTCAAGATATAGATAAGAAAACTGGTATGAAGCTCAATACCTTCCAAAAGTAAATTGAAGATTTCGAAAGAAGAGTTGAAGCACTAAAAATTCTTGACAGAGCTATGATTTCTAATAAAAGATTAAATGATGCTGACATCATTATAGAGGGTTGCATCATGATTTGGAATATCGGTCTACCTTTACTCAAGAAATCAACTAGATCTCATATCTACAAGCCATTTTAATCAGCTGCTTCTGCATTAGAGCAAATTCAATCCAATGATAACATTCTTAGAGTTTGTCTCCTTCTAGAACTTGCAAAGTATGAAATTGAATAGGATTTCCTATCTAAAGCCTCACTCTAATTGAAGAAGGCTCTAGATATAGATTATTCTTTAACTTTGAAATAGATTCCCGGTGACCTCAAGGAAGACGATGACCCAGGAGATTTCTAAAGACCTTATTAAAAAGTTTTGAAGTTTATGCTAAAGAAATTATCTTTAAAAACAAATCTATATGGAGGTGAGCCAGAAAGCATTCAAGACTAGATTGTACTTGATGTTGAAAATGCTAAAACTACTAAGAACTCAAAAATGAGAGAAACCTTACTTGAGAAAGCATTGAAAGAACTATAGGAGTTTGATGAGCCTGAATTTGAAGTTGATTCAGATGCCAATCTAGTAGAGGAAGAGATTAAAATAGCTTAAAGAAAATTCCATCTAGCAAAGATAAGAGCACGTAAAGAAAGAGTTTTGATTGCAACTGAAATTTCAAAGTTAGCTCTTGAAGAAATGTTAATTGAATGTGCATTTAATGCTGCATAACTAGCTATTCTTTAAGAATGGGATTCATTAAAAAACACTGATCTTATCATCGCTTAATCTGAAGCTCATTTCATTCTTGCTCAATGCTATGTGGAATACTTATTAGAAGAGGATATTGAAATCGGTTACAAAGAACTTATTACTGTTGAAGAAGATTAAGATGAAAGAGATTTTACAAATGAAGATCGAACAAAGTTCTAAAATTGGAAGGCTAAATTTACCTAGCATATTATATAGGGAGTTAAACTTGGTCAGCAGGCTTAACAATCTTGGCTGGTTTTCAATGGTGGAATCGAGTTTTGGAATAGCTATCTGCCTCTTTTTAAAAAGCCAAATTTCTTCGAACTTATTCTTTCAGAAGGAGTTCCAGCAATGATTGAATGCTACGAGGCTATGAACAATCAATTCATTAATGCTTCTTTTTCTTCTGAAAATGTTGATTACGAGCTTGATAAAAAGATGCAAGCATTTTCAAATCTTTCGATGATGCTCGCAAGATTATATGAATATCTTGGCAAAGGTGATGCTGCTCTCTCAGTTTGCGATACATTACTTCTAAAGTAACTGCCATCTCATCTAAGAAAGACTTTTGATTCAATAAAAGCTAGAGTTTCAAAGAGTGTCTCAAATCTAGGATCGTTAGGATAGCCTAAAGGAGGAGCTGCACCTGCAAAGGGTGCTAAAGATGCTCCAGTATCTTCAAACATTTATGTTCCTTCAAAAACAGAGATAACTACGAGTGAAGTTTTAAGTTACCTTGAATTGATTTAAAATGGTAACAAGGATCTTATATAAAAGGCAATGGATTCACTCAACATGTGGAGTCCAAATCCTGCAGAAGAAATTGAATTGGAGCTTAATGCTGAATTATGGTGCAGACTTGGAAGACTAGCAATTAATATTAACACCAACCCAATGATTAAAGTTGGTCTATATTCAGCTGAAAATGCTTTGAAAAATGGAGATGATAAGGCTAAAAATAAGTAATACGGTATGATTCCAGTCACAAGACTAAGATGGTACAGTGTAGCTGAGAGTCTTTATGGTGAAGCATTGTTTAAACTGTTAGATACATAAAAATAAGAAAAGGAATCCTAGGATAAACTTTTGCATACCTCAGTTTCGCATTTCGTCGAATCTTGTAGTATCGCAGCTAAGGCAACTATAGGATATCTTGTTCTAGAATCTGCTAAGTTGATGTGGAATGCTCTTTTACCATTACTTGATGCTCCTAATAACAGAAAGTAATTAGTAAAACCCCTATCGCAAGTACACACTTACTTGAAGACAGTTCAAGAGAATAATGATCCAGACTTCTTAGTTCTCTTATATTCTGCATTGTTCACTTGCATTCAAGAATAAAAAGATTGGAAGTTAGGAGAGACTATCACTGAAGAGGCTTTTCTTTATATGCCATAGACTCATTAAAAAGTACTCTGGGAAGCAAAAATGCTCTTCTTAAGTAAACTAGGAAAGAATGTGCTCAATGCGATTTCAAACATGAAGGAAAACAATGCCAGCTTAATGGCAAAAGTTTGGGTCAAACTTGCTAGGTCCTCATCAAATGAACTAGAATAACATTCAGCATATAATAAAGCAATTGAAATCTTAAGAAAGGAGGAGAGTGTTGAGGTAGTCGAGGTTCTCATCGAGTTTGCTGAATGGTTGTAAAGGCATAAATACACAACCTAGGATGTTGAGGACTAATTACTCTTAGCAGTTGATCTATTAATGGATATTGAGCCTGGTTGGGACGATGAGGATGATGAGGCTGCTGATGAAGGTAACGAAGATGAACAAAAGACTAGAAAAACAGGAAAATCAAAATCCTCCAGAATGAGCAAGCAATCAATGGCAAAGACTAAAATCTCAAAAGCATAAAAGTCTAATGCTAAATCAAAGATTGGCGGTCAAAGTAAGAAATCAAGAGCAAGCAAAAGAAGTGCAGCTATGAGAAGTAAAGCAGGATCTAAGGCATCAAAGAAGACAACCACAGCTCTATCTAAGCGACAGGAGGAAGATGCACAACCAATGTTCTTGAATTGCTCTCACTTTGAAAAACTTGTTAGAATCCACTCAATGCTTGCCATGATCGCTCCTGATTCCTACAAATAAAGAGAGTATGCTCTTGATGCTCATTTCTTTATTATGAAAATGTGGGAACAAACATACTAGACTCTAAATGCAGTAATATTCTTTGAAGAACACAAAACTGAAGTGGAAGAGCTAGGTTTCCAACAAAATAACCAAGAAAGTAGAAGACAATATTTCTATGAAATTTTCACAAACAATGAAATAGGCATTCCAATCAGGCACGTACTTCCAGAAAAGCCTGAGGATTGGGTTACATTCATAGCTCCAGAAGCTTTAGTATCCAAGAGTAAGGGTCATGAGGATAAGCTTATGATAGCAAAATGGACTTTTATCAAGCCAGAGCTGACTTTCTACCACATGCAGAATATTGCTTCTATCCTTGAAGAACATTACTTCAGTTTACAACTATTGCCAGTTTTAGAGGTAATTAAGGTTTTCTCGAAAGTTGTCTTTGAAGATAGAAAGCTCGAGGAGATCATGACCTTGAAAAAAGCAAGACTTTTATATAACCTTGGACTTAAGAATGAAGGAGAACAACTAAAGACTCAATGGGATAATGATCATTACAGACTTACAGATGAGGAAAAGAAAATAAACTAAGAAAAAATTAAATCCTTAAGAGATCCTACTGACAACTTGAAAGAAAAATTCGTGTCATTCCACTTTGAAGATGAATATGAGCCTCATGTTCTTGAAAGTTTGAAGATTCATGAAATTTGGGTGCTCTATGCTGATGAATTATTGAAGTGGGGTGAATTCATAAGAGCTAAGGACTATATCCTTGAGAGCTATATGCATGCAAGAATTCTTAAAGATCAAGACAATTATGCCTGGTCTTTAATGATGCTCTCAACTATTGCCTTTTTGGAGGGAGAATCAGCTTAAGCACTGAGATGTGATATGCAATGCCATTAGTATTGCAAGGGAATGAAGCTGGTTGAAAATGCTATCGAGCACACTTTTAACTTGCTAATGTCATACAATAAATTCGATGATTGTCTAGCTTTGATTAACCCATCGCTTGACATGCTAAATAATATTCATGAGAAGCAACAAAAGATAGCTACTCAGACATCAACCTAAAATTCATCAAAGGCTCTTAGTCAAAATAATATGCCCTTAGATTACGCTCTAGGTTCCTTATTCATCTTGAAGGCTATTTTAAGTCTCAAGGAATCTTAAACAACCAAAGTAATGGATGAATCTGAAAGAAAAATGGAGGAGAGCTTCTCATTTATTGATAAATACGAGATTTTGATATAGAAGTCTGGATTTAAATAAGATTAACTTATTAAGCTACTCAAGTACTGCGCTATCTTGCAACAAGACTTTGGAAAGCCAGTGGAGGCTGATCTTAAGCAGATTGAACTCATTAAGGCAAAACTTGAAAGATGTGCTAGAATCTTATTGAGAGTTTAAGAAGTGTTAACCAACCAAGTATACTATATTGGTCTTTAGCAAGAATCAGCTTAACTAAAAATATCCTTGCCCTTGGTTAGATTACTGGGTATAACTAAACTCAGACTAGCTTAAGTAAATACCTCTATTGGTGTTGTTAAGAACTCGATCAAGCTGAGTTCTTCAACTTTAGGAGATGACGAGAAAAAGCTCGATAAAGTGATTTCAACTTTCATGGATGCAGTCACCAAGCAGATTGAGGCATAAACTAACACGTATAAGCAAAGAATGAACAGATACGAGAAGAGTATCTCTATTCTATACTCTGCACTCAATTTCATTCATCCATTCTGCCCTGAATATGCAGAGGCTTTAGTTGAGATTGCCAGAAACAGAAGACTATTGGCTGTTAATAAGAAGCATCTAAGAGGCTAGTGGAGACAAGATGCCATTGAAGTCGATAGAGTCAATCTTAAGCAGTTGCAGATTGATGAGGAGAAGGACAGAAAAGACTAACTCGAAGAAAAAGGCTTAGTTGGTGAAGTCAGAGATGTCTTTATCGACTACAAGGAAGAAGCATTGAAAACATTTGTAGATCTACTAGAAGGTAAAACAGATGTAGCAGGGGACTCTAAATCAACATTCCAAAAACTGCTTGATAAATTCGGGGAGACTATATCTGAAAACTCATTAGCAACATTCGCATTAGAATACACTGAATCTAGAGGAAACCTAAACAAGGAGCAAACTTTCTTCTATCTATCTCTCTATCAATACTCAATCAACAGATCTTTCCTCCTCAAGACCTATTTAAAGGCCTCACCTGAAAAACATCCAGATATCTTAAGATTAAGACATCTGAAGCACATGCAAGAGCATTTCAGTCAGTACAGTTCCCCTTATCTCCCAAAGCAGTATCAGAGAATCGAAGATGACTTGAAAGAAAACTCAAAGCCGTTCAAAATAATCACAAGCTACTTCCCAATTGAAGAGCTTAAAGAAAATTTGCCACATTCTTCAGCATACTTAGTCCTTTAGCTAAGTGAAGATAAGCAACATCTTTACTATTCGATTATGCAAATCACTAAAGATAGAAGATTTAACTATTTGGCTTCAAAACTTACACTATCAGACAGCAACAGAGATAGACTGTTCTAGATGGTTGATACCTTAGCATAGAACAAATTAGCCATGCAAAAGACACCCATTACAATTGAAGAGGACCTAGTAAATCTTGAAAATGATGCAGAATTTGAGATCAGCAAAATTATCAGAGAACTTGAGGAATTTTTTGAACCAATGATCCAGTAATTGCATGAATTCATCAATCCAGTTCTAAAGTCGGAGGAAGAAGAAAATGCGCTTTAACAGCAATAAGCAGCAGGAGGGAAAGGGGCTGCTGGAGGCAAGGGAGCCCCAGCTAAAGCAGCACCAGCAAAAGCTGCTCCAGCTAAGGCAGGAGGCAAAGGTGCTCCAGGTGAGTTGCCTTCTTACGAGTCTAACTTGCCTCTCCCGACTTCAGGAATTGAGAGTCTTGTGCTTTTGATTGATCACAGAATTGAATCACTGCCATTCGAGACTTTTAGCTCATTCTCCAAGGTTCCAGCTGTCTCCAGAGACTTCAACTTGCACTTTTACATGAACAGACTGAAGAACATCGGCCACTAGGCTCTACTTCATAACAATTTAGGCATCTAGAAGGAAAGCATGAAGTATATTATTGATGCACCACAGCCACTTGAGGAGAAGACTCAGCAATATGTAAATCAAGAAATGCCAAAGCTCCTCGCTAACTCTAAATGGGAGGGGCTCCTCACTAAACAACATCATATTCCTAGTGAGGGTGAATGGTAGCGACTTATTTCAAATTCCTCACTATTCACATACTTCTCGATGACTTCTATTGTTCACAAGTTCCCACCATCCCTGATCAGTGATCTCTCTATCTTCTCAAAGTGCAAAGCCATGATAATAATAGACAGAATGAATTCCTTCAAGACTTTGATTGATAGAGGAGTGCTGACATCACAGCACTACATTCCCAATGAGTAGCCATTGCAACAAGCTGCTTTGTTCTCGCTTTGCGGTATTTCAACTATCATGACAAACTTATGGGCTATCAAGCCAGAAGTCAACTTCGAGATAATGCAGAATATTTTGAAGACTGCTTGTGGAGAATAGATATACTTGGGTGCTGCTCTGAGAAAGTACAAGGATGACGCTCTGCCAACTGCTCATGAGAGAAGAAACATCTACAAGCACAACACAGTCATCTATGGAGTCCCTATAATAAGAATCATTTGATGGATCATAAGACTTACTCCAATGCTTTAAATTTAATTTTTAATTTCATTATTTAATTCATAATTTACATTTTAATTCCATTTATGTTAATCTATTTAGAGATTATGGGGTTTTGGGGTTTTGGGGTTTTGGGG